TAGTATTAAATTAATTTTATTATATAAGATTATATGACCATTTTTAATAAATTATAAAATATATATATAGAAACATCGATGCTTATAGCCAGTAGTTGGGCTCCACAAAATAGGTTAACTTTACATTATAGTTTGTTATTGGTAATATTGTTGGCAATGTCATTACCTTTCCTCTTTATCTTATTATTCAGGCTTTTCTGATGTAAGTCCTCTTTTGCTAATCACTCAATTAACTATATTTAATTTTTATAATATCAGATGTTAGAATATTCTCTTCTGTTTAAAAAGTGTTGACATGATTTTCTTAAAAAATATAATATCAGATGTTAGAATATTCTCTTCTGTTTAAAAAGTGTTGACATGATTTTCTTAAAAAATATATACACATAGTAGCATTTAAAAAGTGTTGACATGATTTTCTTAAAAAATATATACACATAGTAGCAATAATATATACTTCAGTTCAACTCAAACATTGACTTGAAGCCATTTAGAGTAAGGTCATTTCTACGCTAGAATAGTGATATAGTGATTACATAATCCAAAAGTCAAAGAAGAAATTTCTACAAAGAAAAAGTAATTTAATATATCAAATTAACAACGAATTTATAAAATATACATGAACAATGCTGATAGCTATAGAAAGTAAGGTATATACATTCATGAAAATTTTGTAGTGAGTGACCAACTACATTCATCCTAATTTGAACCTAAATAATTATTATTTTAGTTACTAATTTGATACGCGTAACTATTGAATAAATATCAAGCAAAAAATAGGAATTGAGATTATACCGTCTTGTAGGTAAATAAATAAATATTATTAGAGCTCCTATTTATATTAAATTTAAAGTAATAATATAAATTATTAAGCGTCAAATATTAGTTCATGCGAAAAAGTAAAGTAATCTATGGTCTATATATTTATATAGTCAATCAATCAAGCGTATTAAAATTATGATGACAATGATCAAAATTATACGGTGTGTTCACATTAAATATAATTTATAAAAAATAGTACATCAAAGTCAACATCCTTTTAACCACTATATAGATTGTCTGAAAATTTTTGTGTGTATAAACTATATTGCCTAGGAATACCGATGTACACACTTAACTATGGCCTAATATATCTTAAGAATGACTTACTCTTTAATATCATGATTAATTGACGTATATATGCATTACACTAAAAACACAATGAAAATTTAGAAAACGACAAAAGAAACACCCTCAAAAGTTTAAAAAATTGAAAAAAAAACTTCATAAAATTTTGTAATTTATAAATACACAAAACTATTAAATATTACATTGAAATCAAGAAACTACAAAAAATCATTGAAAATTTTCAAACTTTGGAGGGGTAATTTGCGATATATTAAACTTTAATCATGTTTTTTTAATTCCAAATTTAATATATTTTTAATTAGGTATGTTCTTTTCAAAAATGTTATGGGTAATATTGCCCATAAAAAGTTTTTCCTAAACCTATACTTTTAAAGGGAGTATGATATTTTTTTTACAAAATTTTAATTTTTTAGGGGTTGTTAGTAATTTTGTACATTCATTTTAGTATCTATAGGTTAGAAATTATCATGGTGTTTTTTTGTAAATTATGAATATTAGGGGTTTTTTATAATTTTTTAAACTTATAGGTCTTTTCTACAGATTGTAAATTGTTTATAGAGTATTTATAATTCCTATGTCTTCAATTTACTATTGAGTTTAAAATTCTCAGGGTGTTTTTATAAAATTTAAATTTTGAGTGTTTGTTTGTAATTTTTCAAACTTTAAGGACATTTTCTATAATTATAAATTTTGTAGGGGATATTTATAACTCCTATATTTTCAATGTACTATTAGGTTAGAAATTATCAGGATTTTTTTAAATTTTATAAATTTGAGGGTTTTATTTTACAATTTGTAAAAAGGTTAGTGTGTTTATTATTAATTTCATAAAATTTTGGGGTTTGTTTGTGTTATTTGTAGGTTTTTAGTGTGTTTATAGGTTTAAAATTTTCAATGTACGTATTTTTTTCAAATGTTGAATTGTTAGGGGTATTTTTGCATTTTTTAAAACTTACAAGATATTTTCTCCAAAGTCAAAAACTTTTTGTTTTTAGCTAGCATATATTTTTCAGATTTCTCACTGAATTTAAATAAGTAAAATTTACAAATTTTAAGAAATTTTAATAAAATTTTAAATTTGAAGGGGTGTTTTTGCAATTTAAAAAAACTTGGAGGATATTTTTACAAAGTCTAAAAAATTTAGATACTGAGTAGCATATGTTTTTTAGATATCTTTGTGAATTGAAATAAGTAAAGGATTTGAATTATATCAAACGTATCTCCTTTATCCAATAACATGTTAAGTCTCATTATAAATAGGATAAATCATTTAATTACCAATTCAATGAAGATAGTATAATTAGAATAGATTAGGATAACAATGTAATAGTTAAAAAAAAATAAGGGTAATATTGACCATAAAAAGATTTTCCCGAACTCGTACTTTTAAATGGAGTATGATATGATGTATAATGTGATATGATATAAAGAAACAAACGATAAGATGAAGAGTTCTTTTTTCTTTATCTTTTTTGAGGTACCAAATTCAAATATCTAGATTGTCAAAATTTTAAATTTTTATCTGTTTTCTCTAGTAAATATAATTTTTGTATATTCTGAGATTTTCTATCATTAACATATGTAAATCAAATCTGAGCTTATATATGTATTAAGTAAGATAGGATTGGATTATTGAAGCTTATTTCTATTAATTAAAATTAATTAGGATAGGATACAATAATGAGATAATATCTTAAAGGGTCAAGGGTATTTTTGTCCATAGAAAGTTTTTTCCAAACTCCCTCTTTTAAAGGGAGTATGATATGATATGATATGATTGCCGCACTTATTTTAAAGATGGTTTACAAAAAAGAAAACTTTTTTATAGGACATCAACGAAACAACCCCCTAATTTAAGGCCCCTGTTTGACAAAGGGTTAAGGAAGAGGGATTAAGGAGAAGGCTTAACTTAGTTAATCTGTCGTGAATGGTTAAAATATGCTTTTTCTGTTTGGATTCGATAGTTAAATCAAGGAGTTAAGTCTTTTGTGTTTGGAAAATGAAGAAGGGCTAAGGAGATTAATCTTGTTATTTTAAAAAAAAATATCACTTTCGCCCTTACTGACAATTTATAAATAATTGCCTGTTCTGCTTGTTGGCATCCAATAATACCAATTCATAGTAATCAATAAGATATGAACATAAAACTTTGGGTTAAATTAAAATAATAGCAAGTATAGGCTAGTAGAAAGGGGAACTTATATGTTTTCAATTTTTAACATGAGCCATGATTGTCAAGCAGATTCTTAAAATAAGCATATGTTTTTATAACATAAGATGAGTAAGCTCAATTATTAAAATAAACTTATGTTTTTATTCAGTTGTTAGGCATTTGTTGTTTCACACATGGATGCAACATATATTATTGTGATGTAGTACCACATATTCTAGAAATTCTAGGTCTAGCAAGCTTGATAAATACCTCATAATAGATAATAATAATATAGAAATGACCACAAATTATATTTTGCTTGAGTCTAAAATGCTTTACCCAAACTTCCAACGTGAGCCTCAGTCTCATTTCTCGCGCTCCTCTCTCTCTCCTCGAAAAAACCCTAGAAATTAAGGCAAACAGAGAAGGAGAGAGTCGATCATGGCGAGATCCTCTGGTTCTTCTTCGTCGCTCTTCTCCTCCCTCCTCTACTTCGGCCTCTTCATCACTCCTCTATTCTTCCTCTCTACAAGTGAAGAAACCCCTTTCAGAGGTAATTTCTAAGGCCTTGATATGCTCCGATCTTTTCTATGGGTTGCATTGCGAATGATCTTTCAGTTGAAAAAAGGAGAGGGAAGTTTTTAGAGGGAAAATTTAGAGGAAAAGGAGTAGATGAAAACAATTTGGGGAGGTGAATTTTACCCTAATTCAGCTGTCTAGTCCCGCCAAATTTTCCCTCTACTTCTTTCCCTCTAAATTCCGCTGCCGAACTCCGCCGCCTACCCGCACCAGATCCAGATGAGATTTTCCCCCCTAAATTCCGCTGCCTACCGTCACGTGAGAAGGTGGAACAAACGTTGTTCCGCCTTCTTATGAGGAATAGTTAACCCGTGGTTTGACGAGATAAATAAGTTATTGGGCTTACGTGCATGTTTGTTAACTCTTTTATTATTTTTTTCTGTTTGGCAGGTCAATGAAAGATTAAAACCCCTTAGCCCCTCGTTTATCCCCAAACGCAGCCTAAGGCACTAAAACCGAAACAGAACAGCCTATTTAATGTAGCTCAGTCAAACGG